CCATAGGTACGTATGTAAGCATGCCACCGACCTCATGCGCGCCCCAGACTTGGTCGTGCTGATAAGTGGTTCGATAAAGGCCTCTCTCTCTCTCTCCTTCTCTCCCTCTGCATGTACATATGTATTACTGGGTATGAATAGACCAGCATGTGTACGGAGTATGTACTCCATAATGCGAGTCTGGGGGCCAGAAATGGCCGGAACCATATTCCAGAACAGGACGGAGCACAGCCAGTCGCGCAATCTTAGGCAACAAGATGCTGCTTCATGAACCCCCGGCTTGATTATGCTACGTCTCCATCCATGCGACGACACTTGTGGGTTGAGCCGATGGCCATGGAGAATCATGGTACGTAGGAATGCTTCCCCAGACACTCTCCCCCAAGGTGCGACTTGAAAGTGCCACTTTGGCTTCGATTCCCTTGCACGATACCTGTGGTGCCGAGAGTGTCTGCCGTATTACCCCAGTCCGCCTACTAAGTACCCAAGTACGGAATCTACGTATGTACTAGTAGTAGTATTACTGTACATATTTATTGCACATGCCGTCCACGATCCACGATCCACCATGGGGTTGGTTGCTGATGGACTCTATCGTTGGAACTTGATATTGCACTCGCGTGGAAATGGAACATGATTGGAGGGCTAAACGGAGACGTATCTGGACGAGTCAATCCAAATCAGCCCAGAAGCCACTCGGTGCAACTTGTTGGCTTGACCCGACAGTTGGACCTCGCATGTATGTATGTAGTATAGCCATGCGGCATCTCTTGTCGCACCCAAGGGAGGGAGGGAGTGTGTTGGGCTACTCGCTAAGGCTTGCCAGCTCGTCATGGAAGGGACCGATGCCTCAATGATTCCAATTCCGCTCTGGTTGCGCAATCGTAGACTCCAAGACTTGCCAAGGCCGCGGGACCAGGCGCGCGCTGTCTATCCCGTACCAAAGACCCGGGTGTTAGCATGGGCACGGGCGGCAAGATTCATGGTTTTTTATAACCAAAGGACAAAGAAAATGTAAGCAGGGACCTGGTGCACGCTCCCGACTGTAAACACGCACAGCAGGGCTAGGGCTGGTGTTCGTCAGGTCTCAGATTGTCGCCCCCATGGGATGCTTCCCCGGTTGTTTGCTCCCCCAGTCTACCGGCTCCTCTCTGTTTTACATTCTTTTTCCTTTTCTTTTTTTTTTTCTTTTTTGTTCTTTTTGCGCCTTTGCCCTAGTACTTCCCGCATCACTCAACAGACAATGTCTGAGTCGGCGGCAGCCAGCCTAGCTCCCGCGGCAGCCACGCGCTCTGGTTGCCATCGTGGCCAAATGAGGTCCCATGGCCTCTTGAGGTGTCAGGCTATCAAACGCCATAGTACTATCTTGATAGTTCGCCTTGCACGCGGAGTCGTGGCGCTTATCAGCCTCACCCTCGACGTCGAGGGGCCTGGACAAAGGCCAAAGGGCTGCCAACGCCAGCACATCATCTGGTGTTGAGCCCCCAAGTCCTGATATCTCTCTCTACCCCGTACGCGAGGGCTTGGGCACGCAATTTGTCTCATCGGCACGACGTGTCGTACCCCCGGGCGTTCCATTCCCCAGGTTTACCGCACCTTCGGATGTAGTTGTCGTAATCTGCACTGCTTCTGGCCAAGGTCAACCAATTGACAGCTTTTAGATTGGCCGCCTCGTCCTTCAAACATACGCCCGCGACCACACCACACCTTTCAACCTCCTTAGCAGCTTGTATCGACAAGCTGAACATGACGGACGTTGCACCTCTTTTGGGGGCCGTACAATAGCATGCGACGAGCACATCATTCCATGTACATGTGTCATAAAATGCCCTTCTCGAGACACTAGTCCGCAGGGCATCGGGCTGGCTGCTGTGATATTGAATTGCCTCGCCCAACCTAGCTCCATTGGGCAATCCCGGGGGGCGCTTTGGTCTTGAAATCTCCTTGACACGGCCAGGTAAGTAGCGAGTGGACCAGTCAATCCGATGGCAACCGCTCTTTGCGTATCAGTTTGACAAGGCTTGCACCGCGATAGACAATGGCAAACCCCCATGGGCCCCCATGGACCCCATGGACACACTCCATCGCGCCATCATTGCGCAATGCGCATCAGCAAGTTTCGTCTTTCGTCTCTGGTGTCCCTGGGACCAGTCTACTCATTTCCTCCAGACAGCATGTAATATGCAAGCCGCAATGATTCCAGCGGACTGGTTTGGCTGCAAGCCTCACAGGCCAGCTTCCAAATGTGGACAAGGTTTCCTCCAGACACCGTGGATGGCGGCTATTGCCTACAACTTACTTGTAGATAACACAACGGTCGGCGGCCTTTTGGCGTGCACCAAGTGCCAAGGGCACGATTGTGTTGCTTGACAAATTGTGGCTCAGTATCGCGTGCCTACCTACTAGCACCAAAAAGATTAAAAAAAAACGAAGGCTGCTACATCGTAGCAACAAAGGAAGCCCTCGCATTCACTCCCCATTTGCGTTAGAGATGCACGGGATATTCGTTCGGAACTATGATTGGAACCTTCTTTGGGCACGAGAGGCCACGATATCTTTCATCTCCACACTAGCTTCGTTTTTAGCCTCTTTCACGTGCCAAAGGACTGACTGGTGATGATGATACTAATACCAACACATACGACTACTACTCCAGACTCGCTCACCGCGGAGATTGTGACGCCTACATTTCGCAGAGCCCATGTCACATTGCCGACACCCCACGTGCCCTTGTGCTGCTCTCTCTCTCACCTCGAGGCTCACCTCACCTCACGGCAGGGCCAAATGGCGATGGCGCGGGGCTCCGCTCGGCGGTCGGATTCCGACCCGAGGCTGGTGGTGACTTCCTCCAGATTTGTCGTTCCTTCTGGTTCATCTTGCGTCCTGTCGCATCCCGCTGCGTCACGTTGCCACCCAATCAATAACCGAGATCACGCCTCGGCATCGCCGTCTCCGCTCAACCTCCTCCTTTTCCAGGGCCAGTCCACCGAGGATATCAGCAGTGCCATTGCGAGTTCAATCTCCATTCAACCATCACGGGTGCATCAACAGCCTGCCCATGTTTCATTTTGACGCCAGAATGATCATGGCGGTAGTACCACCCGGCCCCCTTCCCCCAGGCTGCTGGCTGATGCGGTGCCCCGTTGTCAGTTCAAGCCACGCGATTGATAGCAGATCTCCCTCCCTCCGCATGGCTAAATTATTTTGCCCGACTTTCCGTATCTAGTTGCAACCTTGACGGCCACTAGTGAGTGGTTCATGCCCTCGACGATAGATGAGAGCCCAAGACAAATGACGGGTCTATCCATCACTCTGTATGTATGTACTCCCTACGTACTCCCTTTTTTGGTGAGTCTGGCTTGCATCTTTTTCGCGGCGTCTCCAGGCCTTGTTGCTGCACACCCTTGCGGATAGATGCACCTGTCCCTGCAGGTACCATCTACTATCCCTGGGCTTGAAAAAGAGAGAGGGAGAAGAGAGGGGATGAGAGAGAGCCTGCTACTGAAAATACCATGTTTCCTCAGAGGGTCAGGGGTATTCATTCATCAGTCCATTGCGCTCAAGGCTGCGTCTTCCTTCGCAATATACAAGTGTATGTGCATTGACTTGGCGGTCATGTGATACATGTAGATTGCTGCCGTGTCACCATTCTCCTCGAATTTCATGGATGGATGGCTATTGTGCTTTTGAGTCATCTCTACGGAAACAGCTGGAGCATAAACAAACAAACACCAGCTTTAACGAGTATTGCGCCTAATCCGCAGTGTCAATGGTCCCCTCGGATCGCCGCATTAAAGTCAATAGCCGGTGGGCATTTGCCATACGCTCATGGCCAGCCAATCTTGGACCTTCAACTCATCGACAGTACAAGAAATTTTGCATTGTGCAAATAGAATCAAAGGCATCAACTGTGCCGTGTCAATGCTCGGAGCCGCTTTGATTGCAGTGGCAGTGCAACTTGTTACAAAATGCCTTTTGCTGAGTTTGAGAATTGTGGAGGGATCCCACGACGCTCGACGTGATGCGCTCAGCTGCGAGCATTATTCGAAATTCCGGTCCGCGACGTTACATGTCCTAACGAGACAATAGCACCGAGTCATTGTAGATGTTCTCGCTCAAATCCCAACTTGATTCCAACGCCCGAGCTGCAGGAATAGACGCTTTAGGTCTCCCATGCCGGGGGATCATTTGCTCCAATGTATGTAGCCTGATGTCTTATCTGAGTTATCTCTCGAGTTGTGGGCGCACTCTCTCTAGCTTCCGGTGGCTGATGATTACCCCGGACATTCGGCTGTACTTTGCTCGCCTGCCCCGGATCTGGCTCCATATCGTTTATTGAGGCTCAACTCAAACAAAGGCTGTTTGCCAGAAACCCATCGACCACTTAAAAAAACCGACACTGATGGCGTCTGAGTTTGCGGGCGGAATAGCCTCTGCAATTCCGAAATTAAGTTCACCAGTCACCAAATGGGCCAACAAGCGTTCCGGCCATGGAAGTAGTTCTGACTGACACCGAAGACATCCCAAACACAAAAGCGCCGAGGCTAATGACTTGAGCACGTTTTTTTGGAACAAGTTTCGACATGACTATTGTTGTCAAGACGTGCCAAGCAATGATTTCAACGTCGTACAAGGATGGCCCAGACTCTGGGGGGCGTGCGGGGAGATAAGGAGAATCCCATGTTTCCGTTTGTGATGATGTTTTGGATAAAGTATCCGGCATGGATGGCCCAGATGCGACGATAACAATTTGTCCATCGCGGCACCACTGAGTGAACCTACATACAGATCCTGTGAAGCTCTTCGGACGAAAATGGCCAAAATTAGCTTTCCTCACGAGCGCGACACCCTCCACTCCAGATCCAAGCCGGGGAACCTCAACGAACATGTCTGTGTCACGTGATGTCGCGCTCGACCCGACTAGGCTCTCGCGTCTTGCGTGACGGCTTGGGCATCGTCGTCACGAAATCTCATGCCGCATCAACCCATGGATTCGGGAAATGGACTATCATTCCATCCATGGACATGACATATCTAGTTTCGATATAGCTGGAACTCGTGAGCTTTTCGGAATCCGTCTTGATTTGTCAATCGTTAACGGCGTCTACAGATCGGCTGCCCACAGTTCAGGCTTCACAGGCCTTGAACGAGCTCCAGGATGATGGCAACCTTTACTTATCCACGGGCTTGGAAGAGCTGGATCAAGCTCTCTTGCCGCCTACGCCAGCCGGATCTCCAGGCTCTACCTCCGTTGGCGGAATCAAGAGGGGTCAAATAACAGAAATTTGGGGTCCGTCTGGAACAGGCAAAACTGCAGTCTCGTAAAGCTCGCCCGAACCAACCCGGCTGCTCAATGATGATGAGGTGTTTTTTTTTTTCTAATTTAATGTGCAGGATACAATTGGCTGCGAATTCCATCCATAATGGAAATGATGTTGTTTGGATTGGTAAGCATCGTACCCTCACACACTTACACATCAACTCCTCTGACGGCTTTCAGATTGCTTCCAAGAAATGGACGTCTCTCGGCTAGAAAACGTGCTGGCATCTATAGCAGAAAATGCGGTGCCTGATGGCTCGACGAGGGCTGAACCGCCCGCTGCCGGCCGGGGTAGGTTTGCGCAGTTTTCATGTTTGACCCTTCCACATTTCATGGCCCTGGTATCACGGCCGAATGCAAAGTCTATACCAGAAGGGACCGCCTTGATGGTCGTCCACAACCTCTCTGCCTTGATAAATTCGTCTTTGCCAAGAAGTGTAGATGGAAAACCAGGTCCTAAAAGCAACAAGGGTAAGTGCAAACTCCTGTGCCAGCTCTGGCGCAGCTGCTAACGGTGAGACCACGCGCAGGCCCAACAGCTTCAACCAAGCGGCTCCAAGGTCTGCAATTTATCATTAATGCACTTCAGAAAGTAGCGGCGACTAAGAATTGCGCCGTTGTCGTCTCCTCGCAATGCGCAACTAGAATGCAATCAGAGCACGGGGCCACCCTCGTGCCAGCAGTCAATGCCTCAGTATGGGAGCAAGGGATATCGACCCGAATAGTCATGTTTCGAGATTGGGCATGGAAGAACGGTGCACTTGTCAGCATTTTCGTGGCAGGGCTACAGAAGCTAGATGGTAAATCTGGTTACGACGCGATAGAGCGAGTTGCGGCCTTCAACGTCACAAGAGTAAGTCTCTCTGTCCAGTTTGGCTTTTGCACACCAGCAACCTTGAGACGCATGAGAATGTGCTTTTTTTGCTAACGGTTAATGGCGTAGACTGGCATTGCAAGAGTGGAATGCGATGCCTCCAATGCCCCCGTAGAGCCTGCGGACGTGGTTCGAGGAAAGCGAAAGCTGGAACAGACCGACTTGGAAGTCCCAGACAGCCAAGACGACGAAGACTATGGCTGGGCAGACGATGATGAGGCAGCCCTGCCAGCCCCTCCACCGCAGTGGCAAGGGAGTGAAGACGTCCTGTTAGGACAGGAGCTTGGCCGAGGCGACGATGGTAGGGATGAGGAGGAGGATGGCTGTGAAGGCAGCCACACGCCATCCTCAGAGGCCACTTATTAGAGACCGGTGAAGCACCGAATAATACCGGGGCGAAAATAGCATAAAATGGGACCGCTGCACGGAGCCTCAACTCACAGAGCCTCCACCGTAAGTGAATAGAATGAGAGTATTTGACGGTGAGGCAGTCGATCTGAGCCAAGCAAATGCCGCCTGCAGGCACGCACGGGGCAAGGGGCAGAAAGGGCCAACTGCCATGATTCAAGAACCCTCTCAACCTGCTAGTCTCGTATCAACTCGTCGGCGAATTGTCGGTTTGACTATGTCTGGCTGGCTTGGCCCACGATCGGTCAATTCCGGCGCCGGCGGAAAGGGCTTCGTCGCGCTCTGCGATTGCTCGTCACCACCGCCGCTATGCGAATGCTTCTGGAAGGCCCAAGAAATTCTCTTGATGGCATCATCGAAACACTGGCCTAGCGGCGCCCCCACAGAGACACCCGCGCTGGGCGCTGGAGGGACAGGCAGACAATGGCTGATGCTAGTACACACAATATTGTACGGAGCACATTGCATGCAATACGGTTGAGCACTGAGAGACGAAGAAACAGGCTTGGGCGCCCCACATTGTGGTGTTGTACCTGTGGGGAGAAGGTACTTGAGTACTCCGTACATGGAGAATTTTTTTCTCGCGTCGTCCTGATCTGCTCCACGTTTTCTTAACGGCACACCTCATTCATCAGACCAGCCACCAGCAGCGACAGCAGCAGCCTTACATGCGAACCGGGGGAGGGCGAACTAGTAGTACATTGTACAGTACGTACATGCTAGTAATCAACAAAATTTTTGAGCAACGGGGACATCTTGAATCGACAACCAAAAAGGGACCGAGTAGCGGCGCTGGGGTTCCCCTGGCCATCTTGCGCCTAGCGGTCGGCTTCTGTTACTCTGTTGAGTTCGATTTCCTGGGGCCGAGATACATACATACAATGCCTTCCCAGGGACGACGCCCCTGTGGCATGGTTGCTCCTGTTCACAGTGGAGGCTTGGTTGTTGGTGCCTACAATAACAAGACTCCGTACTCCGTACTCCGTACATGTGTCCTTACTGCCGGCACGAGCCATTCATTTAAAGAGCAGCCACTGGGGTTGGCATAGATGTGGGTTGGGTATTGCTCATGTTGTCAGTTCTACAAGTATGTATGTATGTATGTATTTGCACGCCTGAGTCACAACAGTACGGGGCTTGGACAGCCCCAAGCTCTGGCCATTGCTGTTTTGCCTTGACCTCTGCTTATTATGCAGCAAAGCCAGTTATGTTACGGGATCTTCACTAATGCGCCGTCAGTCCAGGCAGTTTCCTCTGTTGGCGTTGTCAAAGCTTCGAGTTCGCATAAATGAAGGCGATGATCAGTGGTCTCTGGCTGCCAATGACAGGCGATTACGACGTCTCCCTCCCTCCGCCTTAGCCGCCGAGGAGACTCTTTTGACCACAAGGGTTATAGCCACAGCAGATGGAACAGTGATCTTTTATGATGACAAAATGTCTTGTCGAGGGTGGGAGCGAAACTCAAAGCCCTCCAACTTGCCTGATGCCGCTTCCATTGGATCGTCCATAAATAGTTGCCGCTTATTGACAGGATGACTCAAACAGAAGCACACGCCCAAACCAACAATGCCTTTCTTGAAACGCCTGAAACATGCCTGGTTCTGGGGTCTGACGAGGCCCGCCTACGATCTTACTTGGGGTGCGTATACTCCATATCTGCGGCACCAATTGTATGCTCAGGCAGGCATAATAAACTCCGTACTCTGGCAACAGTTGCATCTTTAAAAAAAAAAATTAGTCCTTGGCTCGCGGCATAAAGCAACCATCTCCACATGTAGCCGCAGGTTGAGCTGATGGAGCCGCGGGATAACATGGTCTGGCGCAGTTTTTGCAACCCAAGACGGGGACGGGAACAAGGCACCTCGTCAACTTCGGTTGGGTGCAAATGGCATGAAAGCACGGGGAGTTGGGTGATGGATGATGCCCTGCAGCCGGAAACGCAGCTCTCGCATCCGGCAGGGAGGCAGCAGTTGGCAGTGGATGGCAGAATCAGTCGATCGGGACGATGTAATGCCTGTCTGTTTTGCACATTTATGCCCTAGTCGGCTGATTCGCAACCCGATACATCAGGCCTTTGGACGAACCATCATGCCACGCATGGGGTCTTGGCCGGTTGCCGATGCCACTTTACCCCAAAGTCGGGGCGAATCTGTCACAGACTCACAGCAAACGCTGGTTCCGCCAAAGGACAAACCGTACAACGACCAACAACAAGAGGCAAACCCAACAAATGGCAACCGGATCCCGCATTGTGCAGATGTCACGTCACTACAGAGTACTCTGCATCAAATGGTTTATTTTTCGGCGGAGCAATGGCAATGCTCTCCCCCCGCTGATCGCTACCCGGATGGTGTGACAATGAAGAAGGTGTGCCAATGAATTGAGCCAACGGAACGTTCCCACGGTGTGCGGTGTGCCAGAGGAGACCTCCGGGAGGCGGCTCAAGAGAGGTTCCCCCGTGTTGCCGACACACTAAAACACATTGACAGATTCGCCCGTGTTCCTATTCCCAGATTAGTATTGGCTATCTGCATTCCCGGGTGTGCCTGGGGTGTCCGACCGACGGCACTAGGCCGGCACGTCGTTACCGGCCCCGGCATCGTGCCTGTCTGTCCCTCGGCATCAGGAGCTGCTGTGTGATCAAGTTTGCAGTGCATGTCTGTCTGCGGCCGGGCAAGCGACTTGACGAGACTAATGCCGGATTGACAAGCACGAAAAGAAGGCTGGATTCGGGCCGTGTGAGGCAAGCTGCATTCGAGTAAAGTTTTTTTGCCGCCTTGCTATACCGCATGCCTTGGTTCTTTGGTTGGAGCACCATCTTCTCACACCCTTTTACGAGCGGTGGTGCATCGCGATTCGCCGACATACGCCGTCTATAATCAGTCGATAATCTACCTGCGACAGATCTACAGCGTCGTTATTGTAGTTGCACATTACATACTCCGTACTACAACAGGACAAACATGTCCCTGGCTGTCCCCTCCTTTCGGCTAAATGCCGCGGCTATGTACCGAGTACGGCGCATCGGTTTGTTTCATCTTGTGTATGTATGTACGTACATAAGGAGGAGGAGTTGGTGGCTGTAGTCGCCATCATTCGACTTTATCGTTTGTGCAAATAAAACAGCTGATAATGACCACATGTCCGGGGTTGCTGATACCGTCATCCGTCACATGCTAAATGAATTCAATGTGTTCCCCACACAATTGCTCCAGACAACGTTTGGCTTTTGGCGGCCCCGGAAATTTCGGCGAGACACTTATCAGAACTTAGCTGAGCTCAAGCCTCGTTTTTTTTTTTTTAAAAAAAAAAAAAAAATTGCCATGTGAATGCTCAGCGTACTAGGTGCCTCCTTATCTCTGTCCCTCTCCCCTCTCCCCTCTCTTATGCCTGTGCGTTGCGCCACCCGGGAACTGGCAATCGAGATGCGAATGCCGGGGTGTTTGTTCCAAGATTAGAGCTCTGGGCTTGCTTGTCTTAGTTGTGGCTTACTGGCTTGCGTAGTCGTTTTGCGACATTCCGTGCTAGGGATTGGTCGTCCGGCTTGCCTTCTATTTGGGTGCGCTGTTTGCTGCGAGTTGTCGGCGACTTTGGAAGCCATGTCGTGGACAGGCCTGCATCGCCCAGAGTGGCTGGATGCTGGGTGCTGGATGCTTGACGAAGCCGTGGCGATTTCATCGAGGGCGTCTGCGTAGACTTGGGAATCTTTCGCGGTTTGTTTTCGTCCCGGTTTGAGATGCGTCCGCAGTACTCTGCAACGTACTTGATGGTCTCTAGATTTGAGCATTGCCTGGGTGGTTTGCCGGCGGTGTGGTTTTAGGTAGTTGCCATTGGTACACGCTGGTTGAGTTGGTGGTGCTCTTGTGGCAGATTAATGCGCATTCGAATCTACTTGGCGGCCGGTGTGAGTTGTAGACGCTCTCTTGAAGTTGTTCGCATTGTGATTCCATCCGGCCTGAGGAAACATTCTGACCGCCCCGTCCCAGTGTTCCCAAGTTCTTTAGATGGCTCTCGGAGCGATATCCTGCCATTTCGCCGACTGTGGCATATGAGACGCGCGTGTCTGTCGTTGAAGCCTACGAGCCTGGAGACCAAGTCTCGCGAGACAATGTATCCCGAGGGCTTGATGATGGGGGAATTCGATCCTATACGAGGCCATATCGCTCCTGTGCTGCGAAGTAGTTCCCCCCGTAATGCATAGTTGCAGTCCTCTAAAGATCAACCCATATATTTGTGTCTCCTTTCATAGTTAACATGAAACCGTCCAAGCATGAAATGGAGAGAAAGGGGGGTCCATATCGCCTTTCAACGTGTTGTCCGAGTCGTAGTTCTGGCGCCTCTTGTCCATTCCTGGTAGCTGAGTTGCGTGTAGTTGTCCTCCTCGACGATAGCATACCGTCTATGGTAGAATATATCTGCCCACTTAGAAGTGTACGCTAGCATACTGTAGTATATTATAGATTCGCGATGGCCAGGTACCTAACCTGGTTGGATACCTAGGTACTTTTGCCTCCCACTATAGGTGGTTGAATAGTCGTGCCATCGTATGTTTGTAGTCGCCTTTGTTTCCAAGACCATCCCTGAACGCCAGTATTTGTCAAGCCATAGAACACCTTTATGGTTGTTTTAGCTTCATGTTACCGCAGAGTGTCTTCACGTTTGACTGAGAATGGACGTAGGTCGTTTTCTCTCTTGACGGATGTGGCTTGCTTTGGTTGATGCAAAATCGCAAGACCGCTATAGGGTAGACTTGTTTCCTGGCGAAGTATACGAACTTGGCAGTGTTGGTGAAGCTGCTTGTGACTGGGGAGAGATGAATCATAACTCCTTCTTCTCCGGAAAATAGACCTGGATTTGATTTTTTTCGATTTTGGTAGGGCGGTCTGTGATCTTTATATAGACGTCAAGTACGTGGCATTCACTGTCCTGGCTACTTGGCTGAACACCATTGCATTTCGCTGATTGACGTTTCCCGCCCACCCCCTGCGAGACTCCAACCATACAAGCCCCTCAAAACCAAAGAAATTAACATTCCATATGTCACGGCTAAACGACCAGCATATATACTTGCTTTGCTTAGTGTGAGTCTGTGACGGTGTCGTCGTTAATGAGCGTCTGCAGACGGCGCTGAAAGCGGTGCATCACGTAAGCACCAATTGGCCAATGACGAACCGCCAACCCCTTCCAACCTAATGGTTCAGAAATCATCCTGTTGTGCTTCACCATTCTCAGTGCATGGCCAACTAGGCATCAGCGGGAGTGAGTCTTTCACTTCAATATACTTATACCCGGGACGGTGTTTGTTTTAATCACCTGAGTAATGAAAAGAGAGTCGCCTGTGTCGCAGAAGCGGTGGTGAGTAACCCGTTACGATCACACGAGTCTCGCCGGCGACTGGATCGTTCGGTACGCAATGATTTTCCCTAGTCACTGTTTTAACAGAACATTGAATCATCATTTCACCCCCCGTCTCTCACGAGTTTGACATACTGTGACCTCCGAGTACCGCGGCGGACAGTGTTGGATCGGAGCGACCCAGCTTTTCCCATCGGTATCCCCAACCTACAATATCTCTATTACGTCTGCTCATAATGTTCATCTCTCATAATGCACCGCTGCCTTATTTCATCAAAGACTGATATCACCATCATACAAGATCATAATGTCTAGTGAAGCGAATTCTGGCAGCGTTGCCGCTACGGCGGACAAAGCAGAGAAGCCCAAGTTCTCATGGTTGTAAGCAAAGTTCCGTTGTCGACACGCAAGTGTAGTCGAGCTAACTATTGTATAGACAACCACACCCCATCTTTGTGATAATATTAGTTGGCTCTGAAGAGCAACCGTTTGGCATACAAAAGGACTTTCTCTGCCACCGCTCCGACTTCTACCGGAAGTATTTTGCGGGGAATCAGACTGAGGACACTGTAGAACACGTGGTCAAACTCGCAGACGCAACGCCCGAAGTGTTTGGGCTGGCGCAAAACTTCCTCTTCACCGGAAAAGTCATGTCAGGTGACGAAGGAGTTCCATCGTACGACTCGCTAGTCGGCCTCTGGAACCTGGGCCACAAACTCGGCGTTGACGGGCTCTGCGACAAAACACTCGAAGCCATGACCGAGTGCCGGAGGTTGACTGAACGGATTCCTTCGACACCGCTTCTGGTGCAGGTCTGGAGAGACACGCCCGAGGGCTCGTCTATTCGGATGCTGCTCCTGTCCTGGGCAGCCGAGTACATGAGATCGTCCGACTCCCGGGCCGAGTTTGCAAAGTCTCTGCCGCAGGAAGTCCTCAGTGAGCTCGTCGTAGCCATGAGCTCATTCGAGCTGGCCGCGCCCACGCCCGCGCCAGCACCAGCACCGGCACCGTCCCAGTCCCCCGTCGTATCGGCGCCAGAGCTGCCCAGGAAAAACGTGCACTACCTGGAGGACCAGAGCGAGGACGACCTCAACAACATCAGGAAGAACCGCCGCCTGAGTGGCCCCCCGACCATCATAGCAAGGACGGACCAGTCGCTGGGCCGCAAAGCATCCCGCACGCCTCTGCCGAAACCGCAGAAGCGCAGATCCAGCGCGGCCTATGTCGACAGCCGCAACTTTTCTACGAGTCAGAAACTCGAATTCTGCGCCGACTTGCTCACCAGGATGCTCTCGGGACCAGGTCAGGAACAAGAGCAGCCATATGTATACGGCATCCCACAAATACAAAAGTAACGTGCTAACGCGAATGAGCAGGCTTCTGGACACGACTGGTCGGCCCCTTCAGGGACCCCGTTGAGCCGGCCGAGGACGGCGTCCCCGACTACTTTGACAAAGTCAAGCGGCCCATGGACCTCACGACCATCAAGGCCAAAATGGACCGACGCGAGTACGCCACCGAGGACGCCTTTGTCACCGACATGCGGCAAATCTTTGAAAACTGCTACACGTACTGGAAAAAGGGGGACCCCATGTGGCTGGCTGCAGAAAAGCTGCAAAAGACGTTTGAAGACAAGTTTTCCCACATGAATAAATGGATCGCCAAGATGGGCGGTGAAGAAGGCGAGTAGTGGCACGCCCGGGCTTCTCGTCTGGCGGCGCAGCAAGGTAGGTACTACGGGCAAATGTGTAATATCACTAGCGGGAAGGGCAAAAGCGAGTGGTGGACATGGTTTTTATAACAGCGAGCATACAGAAACCGTCGACGTGTAAATGGGTGGTTGTTGAGGGACAGGACTTGTCGGAACAACGGTGGCTGGGGAATGGCGGGCTGAGAGAACGCAAATTGTATTAGTGGTGGCATCACAGGTGCATGTGTACGGAGTATAACCGGCTTATTTTGGTGTCCTTTGCTGCCCGTTTCTTTCCCGTTACTTTTGTGAGTATTGTTCTGGGTATTGTGGTGTCTCGGGGTATCCTCTCCCACGATTGCAACTGCTGACGTCATTATAGAGTTGTGAGCTGCAGTGAGGCCATATGGACTCAACTGGACACTCATGTTCGTATGTCCTGGGGAAAAGGAAGTGAGGTCGAGGACGCAAATACATACGGCGGAAATATGGATTCACACTGTCGCCTTGCCAAAATGAATTGAAGTCGTGCCGGGGATGTGAGGAAAAGGGGGCCGATTTACTCGCAACGCAGGCCATGCAATGTTTCTAGATGCTGCGAATTGAACTTGCCCCCTTGCCGGGGTGTCTGTTCGCCCAAGGGTGATAAGCAGTGACGGGGTACAACTCGACTTCTGCATGAGCCACGCAGTGGTGACGAGAAGGGCGCAAAAACTTCGAGGAGAGACGCCGTGTCCAAGACAAGTCTCGTATCGCTGCAGCGAGCCGTCCACGAAACTCACAGGCGAACGTGTATTTTACGCGGTTTCTTAATTACGCGGCAATATCCCTTTCAACAATGAGTCCGAAATACTACGGAGCACTCCGTACTGCCCTTCACACTTCAAAGGCAATGTCGCGTATCCCTTTGATTCGAGGGCCAGAGCAAACGTGAGGTCCTTGTCAGCATTCGTTAGTAGGAGACTGAGTGGAGATTGTTTTATTCCCCCCTTCATTTCTCGTGCCCTCTGTAATCCGTATTAGTGGCAATCGCCAATGTAAGATGCGACATTGTAAGACAGTGTATGTGGTGGACTTGGCAGACACGGGCTGGATGCTAGAATCATCAACGCCGGCCAGTATACGGAGTACGGAGTAGAAGAAACGAAATTGACCAAGAAGCTCGCGCAGCGTATGATACCCTTCCGAGTGTCTGTGCGGTTTCAATTGGCTGGATCTCTCGGAGTCATATTTACGCTCTGTGGAGGATGCAGTGAACCAAAGTTTAAGTCAAGATAAACTACTCCGTGCGAAGCTGGGGGCGGAACCCACAGAACGGCAAACAAAGTTCGCAAAAAATACGATAGTCAGTACCCGGCCCGGGCAAAACGACCTGAAACGAACTCATTTGACCTCGTACACTTGGCGGCGTTGGCTCGCTCCGACAGACTACGTAGTACGGAGCTGTTTGTTCCATCGCACCTGAGCCGAACAACAAAGAGGCCGCAGAGGTGGTCACCAAAGGCTGTCGGCCTCTCATGGAAAGGAGACGCAAAGAAGACGAATTTATTTTTATTTGCTTCTTGTTTTTGGAGCCAGCACGTGGATTCGGTGTCGAGCTTGGCAGGCGAATTGCTGGAGCACTAGTAGGCAATACCGAAGAGGAAAGAAGCTTGACTTGGACCGTTAGACCAGACCGTTAGACTGTTGGACTGTTGGACGGGTAGACGGGTACCTGAGCGAAGTGTCCACAAGATTGCATGTGGACTTTAGCGCCGCAAGTGGCCGAGGAATGGTTGGTTCTGGATGCTCTTCCTCAGTGTCGCGTGGCGATGGGCTTTAATTCAGGACAGCGGAAGAGCCTCCCTAGCCTTTACTCAGAGTTACCACTGCTTTGGGGTCGCTCCTTCCAAGTTCAGGTTTTTGTTGTCAAGGTCCTAAACACCTTGTGACTTATTCGCATGGTTGAGTCCGCGACGACTGATGCTCTTCGCACAAGCTTCATATTTCAGCTGTCCAAGGCTCTACAGATCATACAGGAACACCAACACATACCGCACCATGTGGTACTCGAAAAGGCGGCCTGCTTTCAATGCTAAGCTGGATATTTTGGATGGCCGCCAAATGTCAACAATGGTGTGGTTGTTGCTGCACAGGGCACGTGAGGGCCAAGAAAGAAAAAATTTCACCGCCAGGATAGGCCAGCCACTGGCGCCTTGAAGCCAACGGTTGGCTGCATGTGGTGAAAAAGTGTATTTTCAATCTGAAGCAGCCCAAGTCGCAAAGATTGGTGGCTGCCCGTGAGCCAGTCTGTGCAGGCATCATTGAAAGGCAGTTGTCATCTGTGGCCCAGGAAACCGTGAAAGGGGACCCACTTATATTCATTAGTCCCTGCCCCTAGTGCGGCCAAAACAGGGCATGGCGAGTACGCGATGGCGCCCTGTGATTGGCTGCAGGCCACTGCCGATGAGTGCCTGGCGGGACTAGCTGGCGCTTGTGCCTGGCCAAGCGGTTCAGAGTGCCCCCTGGTGGATCGCCATCCGCTGGGTCCAGATGCTCAAATCTGGCACCTGGGGTTTCGGCTGAGACACGCAAACACCAAACGACAGACAGCTGGCCGCGCGACCACGAGATGCGCAGGCCGCCGCGCAGGCCGTCTGCTGAGCCGGGGCCTGGCTGGCACGAGCCAGAGCTGTGAATGGGCCAAGGCCAGCCGTGGCTCCAGTCGGCGACTGCAAGTTCTGGACGGGAGCCGAAGTGTTGAGTGTCGTGGACTGGTGCGGTCAAGTTGCTGGTCATCGGGATGCACCACGGCGCTAGGGGAAATTAAAAGGAGCCGATCCTCTTGCCCGCCATTCTTCCAGCGCCCCAACCCATCGCGACGCCCAGTTTCCTCTTCCTTCTTTCCCTTCCGCCATCGTCACTTGCGTCTTCAGTCCATTCCCAAACTCTTCGGTTCGAGGCCATTTGCGCGCCGGGCTCCGTCCCATCACTTCGCCGTCTCCCAGAGTACTATTTGACTCTGTGCCGCTCTTTTCGCAACTACACACAACCGCCATTCGCAAACATCCGCGTGCGCCACGTTCGTTACAAACAAACCAGACCCCTCCACCGAAACGCCGTCGATAAATCAATCACTTCGTTCCTCGCTACAAGTCAATACCGGCCAAGATGCTTTTCCAGACCGTCGCTTCCATCGCCCTTTTGGCCACCGGTGCCGTCGCCGTCGAGGCCCGACAGCCATACCGCCTGGCTGTCATGGCACTCCCCGGACAGAGCCTGATGCGTCGCGACACCAGCGGCTACAAGCCCGACCAGAAGCAGTGCAAAGCCGGAAACACTTGCGCCGAGTCTTGCGGTGCCGATTACCAACAATGCGCCGGTGGAAAACCCGATGTTGCCCACTGCTTCAACCCCAAGGCGGGGGAGTCTTGTTGCACCGACGACTCTGGCAGTAGGTTCATGCGCTCTTGGAGCAAGTTGCGCGGCGATGCTAACGAATCGGTGTGAATAGACTCTTGCCAGGATGGCTATTACTGCACTCATGATACCAAGGCCCAGACCTGGTGCTGCCCCAAGGACATGGACTTGACCGCTTGCGCCGCTGCGTACACCATCTCTGGTCTCGTCGCTGCGACCTCCAAGCCTCCTCCGTCTACTACCTCGCAAGCGCCTACCACCACTTCTATTCCTCCGACTACCACGAGCACCAGCATCGCGAGCAGCACCACGAGCAGCACTCCCGTCATCACTACTAGTGAGAACACGAACACCACCACGTCCATCTTCACCGCCAGCACCGGCAAGTCCACCGCCTGGACTGCTGTTAACAGCACCATCAGCACCCACGTTCCTACCCAACCTTCCGCGGGCATTCCCTCCGTCACTGGCGCCCCTCCTCCTGCTCCAACCAACGTCAATGCCGCCACCTCTTCTGGTGTCAGCGCTTTGCTGCTCGTCGCTGCTGGTGTCTTGGCCCTTCTGTAAACTAAAGCAGAAGTGTCAAGGATGCGCGGGCGAGTGTGAGAAAAAAACGGCAACTGAACAAGAAACTCTTCACGAGTGGAGGCGTTAGGTTACCAGGATATGATCTTAACCCAGGGAACACAAGCGGCAATTACATACTTAATCGCAACCACGAGTTTACGAGTTTTTCACGAACCAATGGCAACGGCGGTACTTCTTTTTCTAACATAATCCAGTCAGCATTTGGGACGTTGAGCAATTTTCTTTTGGAGGGTATCCGAAAAAGGAAAACCTGCTGCCTCGCCTAGAAGTGTGTGTAACTTTTCTGAGTTGCCTGCGAACAATGGGCCTCCAGTTTTTGTGTCTTGTTTTTATTATCATCTTTTATTATTTTTTGACTTGATCTTTCTGGTTTGATTGTTTCTTTCTTTTCTTGCAATGATTCCCCTTTTATAGGCTGCTCTTTGCTCGAGTGAAGCCCGGTTTGGTGGTTTTTTCTTTTTTTCAATAAGGGGCCCGAGTTGAAGTGGTTTGGTGGAGGACAATGGTGCTCGGAACACTCGTACATTTACATCACCATTATACCTATTTGCTTAAGATTCAGAACGGCAGTCCTATCTTGTCTAGAGCGATCTGGATGGGGGAGGTTGACGCATGTACGTATTAGATCTAGTGGCCTAGTAGACAATTAGTAATTCAGTATTTGCACACAATTCTAACGCTTTTTTTGTCCTGCTTCGCCTCTACCTCCCTACCTCCCTACCTGTGATGGTGGTGGTGTTGAGGCCGACATTTGTTTACACGTTGAAGTGGTTTAGCTGACATTTCTAGCATGTCTTGGCGAGGAATTCTGTCGCGTCCTGGCTCGCGTTCTGCCGGGGAAGCTTAGTGGACCGAGGGCATTGATTGTCTGGAATGTGTTGTGGACAGGCGGGGAGACCTGTGCATGAGGTTGAATAAGGTTCGTTGGCCTCTTTGCAAACAGCCAATGAGTAGACCGTGCGTGGCGATGTGGTTTTGGCTGTGGGGAACAGAGCATGCGGGAGAAGCCGTCGCGCCGTCTCTGGGCTCGATCTGGAGGTGGCTGTGACGGCTGGGTTAGCGATCGCAAATACGAGCAACTCCACTTGTGCTGACTTGTGAATTTGAATTATGTATGAGTTGTGAAGTGTTCATTGATGGTGGATAAGTGGACGGCTCAATACATGTCGCGCGATGCTCTCGGCGATGGCTGTTGGGAGTTTGATGACTCGCCCGTGCTGTGTGGTAGTATCGATGGTAATTTGATGCATTGTACAGAGTACGGAGTGCTCCGTACTCCATAGATGCATTGGAAAAGCTGGTGCATCGGCTGGAGATAACTTGGATTAGCGAGATGACAAGACAAGGGAAGAGATGCTGAGTTGGAAGGTCAGGCCCGAGGAGATAAGCATCGCTGGCGGTATCGAGGCGGACCGCTCTAGTAGAGGCATCTTCTGCTGTGGAGATCCCAAGTATAACTCCGTACAGAGTTAGTACTCCGTACATGGAATCTCATCGTTCGAGGCGCAAGCTGGGTCGATTTTGGTCTGAACAGTCGCTGGAACCTGTCAGGTTGTTTGAGGAATTGTCTGGTGTGCCCCATATCTCCTCTCGTGGATAAAGTGAGGTATTGGCTGCTCTGGTCGGATTGACGCCATTGCAAAACCTTGGCTGAGGTCTGCTACATAGAAGTTCCTCGCAGGTATGATGTTGTTTGCTGCTAGAATTGTCGTCCCAGAGAGTGCTTGGAGACGTCTCAGATGTCAGTTCCGGATGAGTAGACTGGGTCCGTCTTCCAAGACGGTTATTTGGTGACAATTGATTCTTTGTTCCCCATTTCAAAAATTTTGCAGAAACTCCTGCATGAATCCATGGCCATCGTTGTCTGCGCCACTTTTAAATGCACCCTCAAGCAAGAGCTACCCACGCGGCAGCTTCCGATTAGCTTGCAGTTCTTCCCTTGTTCCAGCTCCGTCTCTAATTCGACGCCATCCTGTGGCATAAGCGCCTGACTTGAACTCTGCCTGATTTTGGCATATGCCTTGCACAATCTGAAGCAACTGCATGCCCCATCTCAAGCGTCTCATTATGAGGCCACCAGTGATGAGATCATCTCCGTGTGTTCCTGTATTCCCCTCATCATGGAATCTTACATCTCAGGCCGACATCTTACTGCCTTGCCAGTTTTGTTGGTGCCATGGCGTTGGAGGCTCTGGGCGTCGCCTCAAGCGTCATAGCCGTGATCGAAATATCCGGACGTGTGGCAGCAATATGCTTCCAGTACTCGAAAGGGGTGAAAAATGCAAAGTTCGAAGTCAACCGTCTACTACGAGAGGTCAACAACCTCGGTGAGACGACCAGCAGTGTCCAGGATTTACTCGATGGCCCCTGTGGGAACAGACTGAAGACGTCGAGCAAGCTCTTGGATGCGATTGAAGAGGCACGGGTTCATTTGAGCAAATTAAATGACGATTTGAGCCCGTCGTCGGGCCAAAAAATATTCCGTAGGCTGAGAATTGGCGCGCTCAAATGGCCGTTAAAGAGCAAAGATGTGGAAAAAGCCGTCAAGCAACTTGGACGGTGTGGGCAGAATATATCACTTGCTTTGCAAGTCGATCAAACGTGAGCTGTTGAAAAACGCTAAGCCTCCCCTTTCTACCGTACTAACACATATATATCTTAGGTCCGTCCTACTGAGTCTTGATCAAAAAGCTGTCTTGAGTCGCCTGCCCATAGCAGCCGGAGCAACTTACGACTCGTTTAGTGAAGAGGGCAACCCGACCTGCATGGAAAATACTCGTGTCTCTCTTTTAGACTCGATAACGCAATGGGTGGACGATCCATATGCTGAGTCTATATTTTGGCTCAATGGCATGGCTGGCACTGGGAAGTCTACTATTGCACGGACTGTTTCTCGAATACTTGCGAGGACCAGTTGTCTTGGCGCTAGCTTCTTCTTCAAGAGAGGTGAGGCGGACAGAGATAACCTCCGCAGACTCTTCACTACCGTTGCCGCCCAGCTGACGACCCGATTGCCTGACTCGGCCACACACATGAAGGATGCGATAGATGCTGACCCAACCATATTCCAGAAGGCGATGCTGGAACAATTCGACAAACTGATACTACAACCACTGTCAAGAATCGTTCCTACCTCACTGAAGTCGTTTACGTTAGTGATACTCATAGACGCATTGGACGAATGCGGCGGCTCATACGATGACATTCGGCGTGTAATTCACATATTGTCCCGAACTAGCACTCTCAAGACACTGCGTATTCGAGTCTTCGTCACAAGTAGACCTGAGCTGCCTATTCGGATTGGGTTTAGCTTGGTTAACATCTTGTACCGGAACGTGGCACTTCAAGAGATGCCCGAATACGTTATACAACATGATATTAGCATGTTCCTTGAGCATCAACTGGCAAAAATACGTGGAGAGTACAATGTCACAGTGTCAGAAGACCGACGCCTGCCACTTACATGGCCTGGTCATGAGACGGTTCAGGCACTGGTGAGGATGGCTACCCCTCTCTTTATTTTTGCTGCCACTGTTTGCCGCTTTCTCGCAGATCTGCGTTGGCACCCAGACGACCAGCTTGCGAAGGTGTTGCGTTATCAGACTAGAACGCAGCAGTCAAAGCTTGATGCTACCTATCGCCCCGTGTTGGACCCGCTGATTGAGGGTCTTGACAAAAAGGAACAAGTCGAGCTCCTGCAGCAATTTCGAGCGATTGTTGGGTCAATTATCATTTTGGCCCGTCCCCTTTCCGTTCTCTCACTGGAGAGGATACTGTGTATTCCCAAGAGATCCATTGAGCATCAATTGGATGGCCTGTATTCCGTGTTGAGCGTGCCAAAGGTGTCGGATGCTCCTGTCAGATTGCTACATCTATCATTTCGGGATTTTCTCCTGGATCCTGACAAGAAGGACGATAATCCTTTCTGGGTAAATGAAAGTACCGCACATGACACAATGGCCTCCAACTGTTTTCGCTTAATGGATGATTCTCTCCGAAAAAATATTTGCAACCTTGAGGATCCGGCGGCGTTGCAGTCTTCTATCGACCCGGAAAGAGTGAATGAGTGTATACCCGACGATGTTCAGTATGCTTGCGCCAACTGGGTGCTGCATCTTCAGTTGTCGAAATCCACCTTAAGCAACAACGGTGAAGCTCATGAGTTTCTTAAAAAAAGATTTGTGGATTGGATCGAGGCTCTCAGTTTAATGGGACGAGTCAGGGAGACCATCGGCATGATGAAGGCTTTGAAGGGGCTGTTGGCTGTAAGTGTCTATGGTACCGGATCATCGCCTGAAAGGAAATTTGGCGTTGACAAAACAACAGGCTCAAAATAGTGAAGAACTTTCGGACTTGATTGGAGACGCCTACCGATTTCTGTTGGCAAACATGGGAACAATTTCCTCATACCCGTTACAGCTGTATTCATCGGCTCTTCTATTCTCCCCTAAAGAGAGCTCTATCAGAAACCTATTTTACAATAGTATTCCTCAATGGATTCGCTCCTGGCCAGATACACAATCCCGATGGGGTAGCTGTCTACAGATCCTCGAGGGACATACGAATTCAGTCAATACCGCCAAATTCGCGCCTGTTAGTGCACGTATGGTATCTGCATCGGCGGATAGAACAGTAAGAATTTGGGATACGAATACTGGAGAATGTTTACAAGTAATCCATAATCCAGTTGGAGTCAGTTCTGCAATGTTCTCGCACGATGAAAGACTTGTCGTTGCGGCTTGCGACGACGGGATCATTCGACTATGGGATGTTGATACAGAGGAATGCGTACAAGAACTTAGAGGCCATAGTGGAAAGGTTTCGTCTGCTGTTTTTTCCAGTGACTCCAAGCTTGTGGTCTCTGCATCGTTTGACAAAACTGCTCGGATTTGGGATTCTCTTACTGGAAAATGTACCATGGAGCTCCGCGGTCATGATCGTGAGGTTTCCTCTGTTTCTATATCCCGGGATTCGACACGCGTGTTAACGTCGTCCTATGACTCCAGCGTTCGAATCTGGCGCACTGTTGATGGAAAGCGGATAGGCAAACTGGAAACCGACTGTTGCAGCAATGTATGTGCTATTTCGAACGACGGGTCGATGGCAGTGGCGGGCTTAGGAAGTGGTTGTGTCGAGCTTTGGTGTCTCAAGTCATCAGAATTAATGAACCTCAGAGGACATATCGACCAGGTATGGGGCGTGACATTTTCGCCGGACGACTCCCTCATTGCCACATGTGAGGAGTCTGCAATTGTGAAGATATGGAATACAGAGACAGGCGAGCCCATACAGGTCTTTTATGGCCATCAGAGCGCCGCTCATGGTGTTGACTTTTCACCGGACTCATCCATGGTTGCTTCAGCGTCATGGGATGGCACTGTCTGCCTCTGGTCAGTAGGGGATTATGGGGTTCAAGTAGATGATTCCACAACAAATTTTTACATCGCCCCAAATAGTAAGTATTTGATATCGCAGTCTTATCGAGACGACATGGTAGTCTGGGACATTGCCACTCAAAAGCGCATCCATACAATCGAAAACGGTTGTTGCCTTTCGGATCCTATCGTCTTCTCCTCTGATTCAACTCGAGTAGCGACACAATCTGGAGGTTCTATTCAAATTTGGGATATAAACAAAGGAGAGCTGATATCTGAGTTCTCTTCCAATATTGGCCGTGTCACATCCCTTGCCTTTTCCAAGGACGGCCAATACCTTGTTTGTGGCAGTGAAACTTTGGGTGTAGAATTTTGGCACTTGGGCAAAGAAGAATCCGTTCGACTGCGGCTACAGAGTCTACCTCGTGGTTTTGGGCGAGGTGAAAAAGTTTTGGTGTCGCCCGATATGAAATATGTTGTCTTTGGCCATAATAATGCCCTAGAAATCTGGTCTTTTCCCCTCCAATCCCCTATACAGAAGATTTTGAAGCCTTTTCCAAGCGGTGGCCCTTTTCAAACAGCCCAATTTTCGCCAGATGGAAGACTTCTGGCTGTGGCATTTATTGGCGGGGCATATATCTATGATACAACGTCTTGGGGAAGAGTAACGCAACTTGATGGCGTCAGGGGCACTGTCGAAGCCGCGCTTTTTTGGCCAGATTCTACCATGGTAGCGTTTTCGCAATACAGGAGGGAAGGAGCTCACATTCGCATCTGTTGTACAGCTTCGGGTCACTGTGTGCAGACCATCAGCACTGGACAGATATCAAATCGTCTGTCACTCGACGCCACAGCGCAGTTTCTCTTGACTGACATAGGATCGATTCCAGGAAGTTGCCTGAATTTTGCAACGGACAAAACAGTCAACGTCAACTCAGAAGACGTTGTTTCTGGATATTCAATTAGTCGGGATTCGTGTTGGATTCTCTGGAATGGCGAGCGTCTAGTCTGGGTCCCAATGGAATTTCGAAACTCCCCAAGAGCAGTATTTGACGATATTGTCGTCCTTGGGTCCTGCTTCTCTGACAGGCTGGGCTTTATTCAGTTTGACGCTAACAAGATGCCAATGCGAGCCAAACCCTGAAAATGTAATCATGTATCGCATTACACCTTTCCAAAGTACCGTTTCAAAAGGTAAAGCGACGAAAGACTTTTGCGATGGACTATAGGTTGACGAAATCACGTTGACCAGACATAGCAGCATTTCATTGAGGATGAATTAGCCTTGCGGACTGTGGTATTTAGTGTTGATTTATGCTTTGGACAGTTTTAGTGCACTCCTCAATTGACTCTTTGCATCCAAACTTTACACGATATTGTGATCCTCCTTGAGTTTTTCAACCCTCGTCACATACTGTTCTGGGCCCTCTCGGGCGTAGAATAACCCGACCTAGATGCGAACATGCCAGGGGCAGGTTCCTTGGTGATGTCGAAGCCAACCGCGGTCTTGTAGAGGCATAGCTAGTAGCATCAATGAAGTTAGTCCCCATTACCCGATGACTTGCCAGCCCTCTCGGACCTCCTCAAGAATACGCATCGTGAAGCTCAAGCGATGAGTCCCTCTGACTGATTGTAAAATTTGTATTGCTTGGCAAGGTGGCTGCCTATCCAACGTTCAACTCCGAGGATGTGCTTTATTGGCTTTGTCACGGACCTCCCGCAGTTACGGCCAACCAAGCATCAGACGTTTGGGGTGCAAATTCATAAATAGTCTTTCGATAGTGCTCCAAACTAGCCTATGCCATGTGCCAACGACACCCAAGGGTCCTACATGGAAAGCGTTTAGGAATTGCTGCGAACAGCGCAGCACACGCTATCACAGGTTTCGTTGTACGTCGTGTTCAATACACACCAATGGTGCATTTCAATTTTTTTTTATCCCACTCCGCCAAAACATTACAGTTTGAGATTACTGGCCAGATTTCTTCCCTTTCTTGTACTCCTCCACGAGCTGAATGTACTTCTCCTGAGCTTGCTCTGCGGTCTTTCCCTCGTCGACTTTAGCCTTCCAGCTCCTCCACTTCTCCTTCCGCTGCTCGGCAAAACAAACGTTAGCAACCAAAGCTTGGGAAAGACAGGAATACTACATTACAGAGTGCGAAAGCTGGACGGAGGCGATTCCTTACGCGAATGTCAAACATGCCAGGGGCAGGCTCTTTGGTAATGTCGCAGCCAGTAGCGATCTTGTAGTAGCCTAGTATCATGAATGGATTTTAGCCCCAGTACCCAATGATTGACCAGTCCCGATGAATCTCCCTGGGAAAACGAACCGTAGAGTTCAAGTAACTGGTCGTTTGAAAGGTTTATTCCCATCCCCGGCAGCTTTTGGACCTCCTCATTGGCCGCGTTATTGAAGACCGGGTTGCTAGTTTTGGCCGACATGGTGGCGGATGAAGCAGTGTTACTTTAGGAAAATAGATGGGGCTTACAAAGAACAAACAAAGAAGCTTGCAACTTGAAGCAAGATGTATGCAAGACGGAGAAAGGATCAGGACTGTCCCTCAACACGTGGAGCTGGAGATGTTGGGGCAAGGGGAAAATGGCGGAAGAGTCTGGTCAGCTGTCTGGTGACTTGCCTTCTCCCCCCCACCTGCCACTCCCCAGCTCCTCGGCGGGGTACACAAACCACGAGCACAACAAAAAGCTCTCTTCACCAAGCCTAATAGAGGGGGAATCTACGGCCCAGGCAGGTGACGTCTTTGGCGAGTCCATTGGCCGAGTTGTGAGGATGAAGCCCCATTTGGTGTCTGGCGGGTGGAGCGGGCTCTTCCCTCATCAGGTGCTCAACGGCAGGCACAAGTGGAAAGTGTCAAGACACTGCGGGCCATTGGAGCGTTTCCCTTTGAGGGGCTAGCGTCTCGTGCTGGGGGGCTTGCTTCTGGCATCTGATGGCATGTGTACTTAAGTAATGTTGCGATGAGACGAACGTGGCAGACGAGTTGTTCAGGGCGATGTTGTGGTTGTATAAGAGCGGTGGGCTTTTTTTTTTTTTTTTTGCATTCCTTTTTTTTTTTGGGCGTCACCGGTTCCTGTTGGCCGCATGGAAAAGCACGGGTACCTTGCCAGGGGAGTGGGATATGGCTGAATGCCGGTCTGGGTTTAAACTCTATGCTGTTGGGAGCATTTCCCAGTTCCTTGGGAGAGAGGACCAACAGCTCGCCAAGGTGTGACAAGGTCACGTATGCAGTATTTTGGTGCTGCGTACGGAGGTGCATTGCTCACTTGGCTTGTGCTGGTCTGATGAATCATCTTCACATGAAAGCGTCAACGGTGGGTGGGAGCATGCGGTGGGTCTGGAAGGTGCGCCGCAACGATGGATGTTGAAGATGGGGGTTGAAGAGCAGCCGGTGTGATTTCTCACGTTGACGTCTTTGAACGCCATGACGAAGCAACCTTGATGGATCCTTGTTTGGGACAAACAGTGCCGTAGGTCAGATAAAATCGAGTCTGGGGGAGCTTCGAAACTCCGAGTCGTCATACATCGTCGCCCGACGAGACAACTTCAGACACAGACAAGATGGGAAGGAGCAGGTAGACAACAACAAAAACGCATAGCATCGTAAATCCTTCCATCACAGTCACTTCCCCCGAGCCCCGCTCGTCTCCGAAATGTCCAAAACCGTCGTCGTCCTCGGCGGCTCATTAGGCGGCCTTGCCGTCACTCACCGTCTGCTCAAGTACACGCTTCCTCACGAGCCGGATCTCAAAGTAATATTAATCACAAAGGTGCCTCGCCTCCTCCCCCCTTCTCACTTCCAACCAAGCTCAATGTAATAGAACTCCCATTTCTACTGGAACATTGCGTCCATCCGCGCCGTCATCCCCGGCGTCCTCAAAGATGAGCAGATCCTGCAGCCCATCGAGCCCGGCCTCGCGCAATACCCCCCCAACAGCGTAGAATTCGTCCTCGGCGAAGCTACAAGCCTGGACACGGCCTCCAAAACAGTCCACCTCTCGACGGCCGGCGACACCCGCGCCATTGCATACGACTACTTCGTCATCGCGACAGGATCGACCAGCAAGTCGCCCTCGATGCCGTGGAAAGCCTCGTCCACCCACGAGGCGTGCGTCGAGGCCCTGCACACAGCGGCAGACGGTATCCGAAGGGCGCCGCACATCGTGGTAGCCGGGGCGGGCGCGACGGGCGTAGAGCTCGCGGGCGAGATACGCTTCGAGTATCGGGACAAGACGGTGGTGCTGCTGTCGTCGGGCGAGCAGCTCCTTAGCGGGGACGGCATCGCGTCCGCGGCGGAGAGGGAGCTGGTGAAGCTGGGCGTCACGATCCGCAGAGGCGTGCGGGTGGCCGGCACCGAGGAGAAGGAGGGAGGCAGGACCGTCGTGAGGCTAGAGGGGGGCGAGGAGCTGGAGACGGACCTGTATCTCCCGACGATGGGGTTCGTGCCCAACACGGCGTACCTGCCGGGCGGCTTCTTGAACGACAGCGGCTACGTGCATGTCGATGAGTACATGGGCGTTGCGGCCCAGGAAGCCGGGGGCACGGTGTGGGCGGTTGGGGATGCGGTTTCGAAGCCGAGGGCTGGGTTTCTCATCACGGAGGCGCAGGCAGCGGGCGTGGCCAAGAATATCGATCTGGTGCTACGAGGTAGAGACCAGCAGGCTGTCCATGGCCCGTCGATAGACATATTCATTTGTTCGACGGGCCGCTCCAGGGCCGCGGGACGGTTTGGCTTCGTCCCCATGCCGTCCCTGGCGGCGTGGCTCGGCAAGGGCCGCACGCTGGGGGTAGAGCGGACGAAAAAGTACGTCGATGGGAGTATGTGGTGATGGAGAGGTAGACAATAGATGGACATGGCACGTCGTCCAGGGGTTGTGTGGCACGCTGTACAAATTAGATTTTCGTCTAATGCTTTAGACATAGGTTCGCTGAATCCAACATCCTGCTCCATTCTTTGACAAAAAATACATCACGCCTTCTCTGCGTCAATCTGTCTCCGCAAATCATCCAATACCGCTTGTCTCGAACTCAAATGCGTCTCCAAACCCTCGACTTGCTCCCTCACTGTCTGCAAATCTTCTGACACGCTCTTCAGGCTTGAACCAACAGCGCTCTTGCCCCTCCCCTCTTCCAATTCTCTCAATTCTCTGCGCTTATAGTCCAGCAGCTGGTCGAGTTCCCTCCTTACAAGTGCAGGCTTGGAATCTCTCTTGCCGCCTTTCCGCTGATCGGCCATGTCCTCAACCTTTTGAATCTTGGTTTCCAAGTCGGCAAGTTGTCGCTTCAACCGAACCTCCTCCCAATCTTCCGTCTTTTCCGTCGAGAAGTCGGTGCCAGCTGTCTTGAATCCGCTTCGACCCAGGCGTGTGAGGTACTGTTCACCGAATTTCGTCTTTCGACCGGTCGAGGTAGAGTCGTCGGCCTTGGTGGCCCATCGTGAGTTGGTGCCTGCTCGTTGGCTGTCCAGCTGGTAGTCTATCTGGTTGCGCTCGAAGCTGGAGCGCAGCGAGGCAGGAACGCTACGGGGGATGCGGAAGCCTTCGTGGCGGTAATTAAGGATGTGGAGGAATGCGAGGCAGGCGTCTTTGTTGATAGTCGAGCCGGCGGAGGGGTTGACGAGGTTCCAAGCTGATCTGACATCGGTGTCGGGGACGTCGAGAGATTCGTAGAGTTCTTCGAGGGCGTTGACTAGTAGAAGCAGATGAGAGGGTGCGCAGACGGACGCAAAAAGCCGGACGAGACTCACATGATACTTCACCCCGCATATCCCGGTTCTCTTGATAAATGTGCTCGTATTTGGCCTTGTCCCCGGGCTTCATGTACCACTCAAAGCCATCCTTGAGACCTAGATCGTCTGAGTCGTCTTCGACCTGCTCAAACTGCGGCTGCTTGCCGGCGATGGCACGAGTTGCCTGAACAAGATGAGCCTTGGACTCGGGGACCAGCCAGTCGGGGAGTGTCTTGGGGACGTCGGCATATTCCTGATCATCATAAGTATTCGCAAAGCCTGAGTCTCGTGGTCGGTGCATCATACTCCGTTCAGAATGTCAAAAATGAGTCGCATGGCGACACAGAACTCCTCAAAGTCCAAGTTTCCATCATTGTCAACGTCGGCCAAATCCCACACGCGCTCCAGCTGATCATCGCGGAGACCGCTGTTCTTCAGAACCGGGGCTGCTTGTTCGCCGGTGAGGAACTGGCCACCGCCTGTTCGGTCGGAGAAGATGTTCCAGTACGTCTCAATCTCCTTGGCCTCAATCTTGGGAGGCGCCATGATTGCCGGGCGCTGAGGCTGCCGGGGGTCGGGCGGCAGCAGGTCAATTCGGGTGCGGATGAGAGTTGGAGATGGACGCTCTGTGCGGTTTGTTGTATGGCTGCGTGCGCCGTGAAGGGGATGAAGGATGCCAAAGTTCCAAGACCAAGGAAGACGAGGCACACACGATGGCTTGAGTGACGAAGCTCCTGGCTTGAGGTTGTGGACTTGTCGGTACACTTCAGACACCAGACCAGATTCAATTAACAGCACTGTGCTGATTTCAGTTAGCCCGAGGCTGTGTTCAGTGACTGTGCAGCCCCAGTTGTCCTCAAGTGCTGGTCTAATAAGGCCAGGCTCTACATGTACATAAGCCCCTCCAGCAAGGTACCTGGGCAGTTGGCTGATGACTCAGCCATGGAGCAAAACATTCTGTCAGGACATTCTTTATCGGGTGCCTAGGTACATACCTTTAGATATACCGGCATCTTGTTTTGCAAGGCTAGATACCTTGGCCTCCCATTGTACTCCGTCCTCCGTAGTTAATATGTAGGAAGCCAGAGTTGGATCTTGTAATGGTACAGAGCACGGCACAGCCTGGTTCAAGTGGTGGGGGCTCCTTGAATAGTATAGTACATACTTGCTGTTCTTCTTCTTCTTCTTCTTCTTTTATTTTGTTAATTAAATCGTTAACTGGATAGTTTCGGATTGGTCTCAAGGGGCAAACAAGTTGCCGCGTCTTCAAATAAAACATTGAGACTCCGAATACTGACCAGTCGACGCAGCGTGGTTTGTCACTTGTCGTGGGTCAACGGACCAGGATGACAGCCCCACATGCAACTGTGGACGCCCGCAATTTACGTCGTGCCTCGAGGGGCAAACCGAAATGTTGGTTAAATTGAGATTGGACCCTTTCCCGCCGAGACGACACCAACAACATCTGGACTCTCCTGCGTCCTCTCGCAAAGGCCGGCAGCGCAAAACCTCGGACGAGCTTGATCTACTCTCCACAGTCTCGAAAATAACACCAAGATGGCGACCACCACCGTCACGGTCACTGAGACCCGAACAGAGCCCATGACGGCTGACACCATCCTCCGCCTCTTCCCCGACATCGACACCAGCTCGGAGGCACTTTCCGGCCACGACGAGGAGCAGATCCGGCTGATGGACGAGGTGTGCATTGTGCTGGATGATAATGACATGCCAGTAGGCAAGGCCAGCAAAAAGCTCTGTATGATGTGACGGGGTTCCTCACGAAGCCAGTGACCAATGGTGTATGCTAATTGTGTATCCGTCCAGGCCACCTCATGTCCAACATTGACAAGGGACTGTTGCACCGGGCCTTTTCCGTCTTCCTGTTCAACGACAAAAACGAGCTGCTCCTCCAGCAGCGTGCCTCCGAAAAGATCACCTTCCCCGACATGTGGACCAACACCTGCTGCTCGCACCCTCTGGCCGTGTCCGGCGAGACTGGCTCCAACCTTCCCGATGCTATTGAAGGAGCGAAGCGTGCGGCGCAGCGAAAGCTTGAGCACGAGCTGGGCATTAAAAAGGAGCAGGTTCCAATCGAAAAGTTCCGATTCCTCACACGTATTCACTACAAGGCTCCCAGTGACGGCAAGTGGGGAGAACATGAAAGTAAGCAATCTGATTGCTTGAGGGGCAGATGAAAAACGTGTTGGATAATGGGAGCCCAATAACGTGCTTGCTAACCGGACACTTAGTTGACTACATCCTGTTCATCAAGACGAACGTCGATCTCAAGCCCAACCCCAACGAGGTCCAGGCCACTCAGTACGTCAGCGCTGACAAACTCAAGAAGCTATTCGAGGACCCCTCGTTGAAGTTCACCCCCTGGTTCAAGCTCATTTGCAACTCGATGCTGTTTGAGTGGTGGGCGAGCCTTGACTCTGGTCTGGAGAAGTACACCAACGAGCAGGAAATCCGACGCATGCTGTAAAGTGACCACTGCATTATGTGAGTGTGCATGTGTGTGAGGGGTACAGAGAGAAAGGGACGAATAGAGATGCAGAGCGGGCGGACACATACATCTTTGCGAGTCGCTGGCATGGCAGGAGAGAGAGAGGGTCACCCGAGAGGAGGATAGCTGCTGACAGCGGCTGAATGCTTGTGGCGTCGGCCTGTGGGCGGATAAGCCGCAGACTCGGACTTGGTTGGAAGATAATTATGTAAAGCAGACACGCAGCTTTTCTATACAAAGTACATACATACATTTAGCGGCAATGCATTTGGGCCCGGACCGGAGAGTGTGTCGTCAATTCCAGCGTGGTCATTTTCGGGACGATCAATATCACAGCATCCGGGTGATGGCATCCAATAACCAGCAGCTTAGTCCGCAGCAACAGCGCCAGCTTGCATAGACCGTCTGACGCAGCACTTGGGCGCCAAGCCTTGCCGTGCTCATCGTGTCTGGTATCGTGGTGCGCACACGGAGTCACGGACCATTGAAGCTTTGAATCCCGTCGGCGCCCAGCACCACTGTAGCGTGACCATTAATGCATGCAGGAAGGACAGAGGGGTATGGTCGAGGTGACGCCTCGGTGAGCCACGTAGCCAAGCGTACACGGATGATGAGTGAAGGCTGATGCGCTGCAGCGCCCGTGACGTAACGGATGTGATGCGCGAAGCCATGGGCACGGGCACGGAGGGTCAGCCTGGCAGTGCTCGAGCTCAAGCGCTGTGCAAAGGAGGCCGAGGCGCCCGCTCTTCGGCGGCGAAAAGAGCGTCCACGGCTGGTGGCAGCGAGGCACGCAGATCCACTAAAAAGCCCCGTAGCTGGGCCGCCTCAGCGGTGTCCACGGTGCTGGACGGCCTGGTGCACGTGCTAGCGGTCCCTGGCAGCGCCCGTGGTATTAGTGCCCGTGGTAGCGCCCGTTTGACAGCTCCGCGCCGTGTCTGGTGGCTGAGTGACGAGAGCATTGAAACCGCAAGCAATGAATGACTCACTACCGGTACACTTGTTGATGATAGAGCCGTCTTGGCAGCAATGGGTGGAGCGCGCAATGAGGGACATGGAGGCACTCACGGTGTGCCGGCTGGCTCATCCGGCAGCCGGTGTCCGAGGTGGCCGACACCAGACCAAGACCACCAAGAGAACACAGCCGCATCCTAACTTGTCTACGGCTTCCACTCCGCCCCTCCTTTGCATGATCTTGTGATCCATGGATTGCTCCGAGACCAGCGTCCCGGTATTCCTGGCCAACGAGATGGCAGTGTTTACGGTTCCCGGTGCTTGGCTAGTGATTCGGGGCGCAGAAATGCCGGACTCGGTAGGTGAGCGACACCGACGCAAGCCTCTTGCTCGACTCCCCGTCTCATGTCTTAGACTTCGTGGCCAGACATGGAAGGCGCGGCAGGCTTGGTCTCAGTCCATAAGTTAAGGTTGTTTTACCCCAGCGGGTCAAGTTGCTTATCTATCCTATCCTTTCATACTTTAGGCCCGACTCTCCCCAAGCACATACCTTTAACTTTTTTCAACCATACTCGACACATTCATCTTTGAACCTCATCCTCCCTGGCAGCTGTTACCAAACCAGCTTCTCGCCTCTGTTGTGTGCGCATCCGCCACCAGTGTCGTCGGATTCACACTCCACGCACATAGAACCTCAATACAACCACTTTCAGGCTTTCTGCGAAGACCCCAATCTCGTCCCCCCTCCTCTCCTCTAAATCGTTTTGACGCTCCTCCAGCCCTCGTCTCATTTATTGGGCATGACTCGTCGCGAACGATACTCTGCTGGCATAATAACTAGTGACTGGGCCACAGTTTGCAAAATGTACTGAACAAGAAGAGAAAAGAAAACCCATGCATGATTTTCAGCTGAAAAAGCAGAGACAAGATCCAAAAAGACGAGCAGCCAGTTTCTCACCATGCTTCTTCAATCCTTCAGCTCTGTTTTTGCCCCGTGGTGACTGGGTGCCAACCTTTTTGTGATTGCAACTGATGCCTTTTCCTTTCTCGCTTTGGCCCCCGAAAGCGAGATCGAACCCAGAAAAGAAAAAAATGATTTCCCCCATCTGTTCTGTCTTCTGTTGCAGTCTAACAAGCTAGGTAGAAGTAAACATAAACGCCCACCAACATGGCGCAGGTCAACCACGTCCAAACCCGCCCTCATCCTAATCCCCGGTTGTCCTTGATTCCGCCAACATGGGAGACAGAGGTTCGCGAACTCACCTTGCATGAGCGCCGAGAGGCCAGCCTTGCTCTTGCCCACAGCTTCGCTGCCGATCCGCTGTCCCTGTATGTCATGGGCGTGGATGACGCGACTTGCTGGCCGTCCGAGAAGCTTTGGAGGCTGCATGTCCGACTCATGCAGTACTCGTATGTTTCGTACCGGCTCAGGGGCCTTGCAACGGCCATCGGCGGAGACTTCGACGCCATTGCATTGTGGTGAGTGTGAAACACAATCCTCACGATCCTTGTTCTTTTGCAGGGCGGCCATACCATTGCCGGCTGCGGACCACGCTGACGTTTTCTTTTGTGTAGGATGCCCCCAGGGACAACCAACGACGACTGGCTCGCCACGCTCTGCAGCGGAACCTGGCGTCTGTGGTACCAGCTCTCTCGTGAGAGCCGGATACGTCTCTTCAATGAGCTGTATCCTGCGCTGCATGACACCAAGGCTGAGGTGTTGGGCGACCGCAACAGCGACAGCTATTACCTGGGCTACCTGGGCACCAAGGAGAGCTCGAGGGGCAAGGGACATGCCACCAAGTTGCTAAGACATATCATGGAAAAGGTAAAAGAGAGACGAGATGAAAATTAAGCCCCCTTCCTCCGTTCAGCCCCAAAAATGGACAGTAGATGCTGACATGGCCTCTTTTACTGTAGGCTGACGCTGAAAACCGTGCCATGTACCTCGAGTCGTCAAATGAGTCCAATAACCGATTCTACGCCAAATTTGGATTCGAACTGAAAAAGGAAATCGTCCTGACTCGTGGTCCGGTTCCTATCCGCCTGTTCTGCATGCTGCGGGAGCCTCAAAACGACAAGGCTAGTAGCTCGGTCGATATGGGGGGCGAAAAGGACTGATTGGAGTTTGACCAGATGTGTTTAATGTTTCTATTTTGTGCTATTTGATTGCGTGAGACTGTCTTTACCGCTTTGCAAGATTTCATTCTTCACACTCCTTTAAACGGATAGCGTAGGATTTGGCAATCTCAGACTGTTTTCAATACTTGAACAAAAGGAGACTGGAAACCTCCCTACCGCGTTGAGCTCATAGTATTTGCATATTAAGGAGAAATTGAAATCGTAACATGACTACCTGTGCCTTTATCCCGAAAAACACCTGTATTTACCCAGTGCAGTGCCCGAACCGAACCATACGGTCGCCAACGTCTTGTCCACGCTTGCCTAGCACTCCAAAATAGCCCAAGTCTCATCATCAACGGTCGTGTAAATCAAGCCCTGGCCCAGCAACTCATCCGCCGCTGCCAGCACATCCCTCACCGACATGCCCGTCGAGCTACTAATCACATTCAGATGGACCCCCTCGTTCATGCCGGGAGTCCCATTCATAAAGTTGAACATCCTCTTCGCCAGCGGCCCACAGCCAGACACCTTGCTCAGCATCTGCCCAGAACCACCACCGTTGGCGTTGCCCCCGTACGCGCCGCCGTCGACAAACATGCTCTCCCCGCCGCCGTTGGCCGCGCCGTCCTGCCCCAGCGGGCCCCTCGTCAAGTACAAGTGCACGTACGTCGCCTCCAACAAGTGGTAATTCACCTCGTTGAAGTCGGTGACGGGCCGGATGACGTGGGCGCCCACGTGGCGCTTGTTCGAAAACGACTTGAGGCGGCCCCATACGCGCACGTAGGAGTCGAGCTCGTACTGGTCTGCGTTGCCGTCGTCTGCCTTGTCCGCGTCGATCCACTTCTTGACTTCAATCTGGCCCGTGCCGTCGTCGATTTTCAGCGTCACGTTGGTGGGTTGCGGGTTGATGTTGCGGACCTGGCCGACAAAGGTGATTTGGGTTATGGCCGTGTTGTCGATTTTGAAGTCGGCGCCGGAGAAGGCCTCGTCTGCTTCGAGGATCTGCTTGACGGTTACGGGGCGGAGGGATTCATCTTGGTATGACTGGGGAGCAACATGGGACGTTAGAGAGCCGTTGGAAGGAGAGGGAAAGGGCTTTTTTTTTTTTTACTTTGCCGCCTTGACTGCCTGGTTGTGAACCACCGGCGAAGAAGCCGCCCGAGTCATCGCCGCCTTGGGCGCCGTAGCTCGTTTTGGAGTAGCCTGCATATGCTGCTGTGTATCTTGTTAGAAGACATGGACACGGTCTATTTCGGGAATAGGAGTGGTTTGCAGTGTTTGAACGTACACATGACTGGTTTGGACGGGGATATTTGCGTATGAAGAATTCACGGTGCCTCTGTGACGGTGGGAGACGCGTTTTGGGCGCGACTTTGGTTAATTGGATTTGCCCCGCGGTGTGGGGCGTTTGCAGCGAGACGAGATGAGTAAGCAGGTTGTTCGCTGCTGGGGCAAGGAGGATGAGATGATCAAGCTTATCGAGAGTCCGAGACCCACAGCCTGCCTCGACCTCGTCATTTTGCCTCGGCAACTGGTTGGCGCGGAGCTCCAGGCTCCAGCACTCCGTCTCGAGCTCGGATCCAAGCCGGAGACAAGGCGGGTGATGACTGGGCTTTCCCCAGCTTTTCGCATCTGACAGACGACTCCGTTCCTCGACCATCATTCATCCACCACCGCATTGTCTCTGTCTCATTCATCCGCAGCCTGTGCATCATTTGCGTCTTACGTGTTACATATTGTACCTCGACTCCTTTCGTGCGAAATAATCAGGCTTTTACGCCGCCCCGTTCATCGTCGAACATCACGAGCCCGGCCTCCCGGCGACACCCGTAACTTTTCTTTGGGGCAGCTTTGTTTGTACACGTATATATATAACCGACGTCCTCGTGCTCAGTCTTGCTGCGCCATGGGCAGATCACAGACTGCATCTCTCCCCATTATCCCGCTCGCCAGAGGCACCGTCCTGCTCCCTGGCCTAATTCAGCGAATCTCTGTCACTTCGAGCCGCCCCGATATCCCCGCGCTCCTCGCCCACGTCTACGAACAAGCTGCCGCCAAAGGCCCGGAGGGACGGATCGACAGTATACCCATCGCTTGCGTTCCGCTCTCATCACCCTTCGTGGGCCCCACGGGCCAGCTTCTCATCAACAATGGAGAGGAGATTGACACCTCGCAGCTTGCCGAGGTGAATCCCGGCAGTGCCAACAAGGCCGATGTCTTCGGATTTGGTGTTGCCGCCAAGATTGTCGGCATTGATGGGCGCGGTGCCGGCGAGTTTGCGCTCCGTGTTGAAGGTACTTCTCGTGTCAGAGTAGATAACATCTCTCGCGAGCGACCCTTTTTCCAGGGCAAGGTTACATACTTTAGCGATGAAAGTACGTCCCAATTTGATGTTCCTGCCAAGTGATCCAGCGGCGTGCTCTAACGATGCGTTTCTTTCTTAGTTGATATGGCCGACAAACAACTCCAGGATCTTTTTGGCTTGCTCAAAGCTCAGTCTCGCGAACTCGTTACCATCCTAAGAATCTCGTCGCTGTTACCACGTACTAAGAATGGGCCGGCATTATCACCCGGGCTTACGAAACGGCTAGAAATGCTCATCATGCGACGCGAGATCAAGGAAGCAGGGCTTCTGGCTGACTTCATGTCAAACCTTGTCGAGGCGTCCCACGAGGAGAAGCTGGGCGTGCTAGCTGCGCTGGATGTCAAGGTCAGAATCACAAAGGTCATTGAGCTGCTGGAGCGGCAAGTAGGGGGCATTAAGAACAATTTCAAGATTACTACATTCACCTCCGTCCCTGTCCAGATTCTCGACAGGCTAAATGACAATCCTAATAAGAGGAACAGCCCGGGTCTGCCAATTCCCGGCGTCAACTTCCTTTCGGGCGCTGGTCAGATGCCATCTG